TTTTTAGTGTGTAGTTTCTATGGATTTTAGCACATATATAGGAGTAACCCTCTAAACACCTTTCTGCTGCCTCTTTGAGGTTATATTTTCCTTCCAAACTGTACCCTTGGTAACCACTGATCTATTTTCTATGATGTAGTGTTGTTTTTGTGTGTGTGTATGTGGTACTTGGGATTGAATCCAGGGGTGCTTGCCTATTGATCTACTTCTTAACCCTTTTATTTTATTTTTGAGACAAGACAGGCTCTTGCTAAATTGCCTGGTCTGGCCTTGAACTTGATCCCTCCCCCCAGTTGCTGGGATCACAGGTGTGCTGTGAATAGTTTGTTGTTCTGTCTTTTTCAGATTGTCATTGTGAGTGGGATCATACGGTAGGTAGCCTTTTATGGCTGGCTTTATTCAGTATAATGCCTTTAAGATTTGTCTACGTTGTGAGAATTGATAGTTGGTTCATTTTATTTTTTATTTCTTTTATTTTTGGGGGGTACTGGGGATTGAACTGGGGGGCAGTAGGCCACTGAGCCACATCCCCAGACCTGTTTTGTATTTTATTTAGAGACAGGGTCTCTCTGAGTTGCTTAGCACCTCGCTTTTGCTGAGGCTGACTTTGAACTCAAAATCATTCTGCCTCAGTGTCCCGACTGCTGGGATTACAGGTGTCTGCCACCATGCCCAGCTTGTTTTATTATTTTTGAGAGGTTTCATTATATGGATGTTCCACATTTATGCACCTGTTGAAGTACATTTTGGATTGTTTGCAGTTTCTGGTGGTTATGACTAGAGTTGCTGTAAACATTTATGCACAGATTTTGATGGGAACATAAGTTTTCATTTCTTCTGAGCAAATACTCAGGAGTGGGATTGATGAGTCATCTGGCAAGTAAAAGTTTATCTTATATAAGAAATTGCCAGGTTTTTCCAGAGTGGCTGTACCATTTTGCATTCTCTTCAGGAGTGTAAAAGAGACAAATATTTCTCATATGCATCAATACTTCATCTTTTTTTTTTTTAAGAGAGAGGAGGGGGGAGAGAGAGAGAGAGAGAGAGAGAGAGAGAGAGAGAGAGAGAGAATTTATTTATTTATTTTAGTTCTCTTTGGACACAACATCTTTGTTTGTATGTGGTGCTGAGGATCGAACCCGGGCCACATGCATGCCAGGCGAGCTCGCTACTGCTTGAGCCACATCCCCAGCCCGTACTTCACCTTTTTAAAAAAATACTTTTAGTTGTAGATGGACACAAGACCTTATTTATTTATTTTTATGTGGTGCTAAAGATCGAACCCAGTGCCTCACACATGCTAGGCAAGCGCTCCACTACTGAGCTACAGCCGCAGACCCCATCAGTACTTATTATTGTTATTTTTCCCCCCTACAGTTACCCATAAGGAGTGGTAACTCACTGTGGTTTTAATTTCTCATTTCCTTAATAGCTATTGTTGTTGAATGTCTTCATGTATATATTTGATATCCATATATTTTCTGTAGAGTGCCTGATCAAGTCTTTTAAGAACCATTTTTAAGGGGGTTGTTTGCTTACTGTATAGTTTTTTTTTTTAAATTTTTTAGTTGGATACAATATCTTTATTTTGTTTATTTATTTTTATGTGGTGCTGAGGATCAAACCCAGGGCCTCACATGTGCTAGGTGAGTGCTCTACCGCTGAGCCACAACCCCAGCCCTGCTTACTGTGGAGTTTTGAGATTTCTTGCGCGGCGCGCGCGTGCGCGCGCGTGTGTGTGTGTGTTTGTGTGTGTGTGTGTGTGTGTGTGTATTTTAGTTGTCGATGGACACAATACCTTTATTTTATTTGTTTATTTTTATGTGGTGCCAGGGATTGAACTCATATGCTAGGCAAGTGCTCTACCACTGAACCACAACTGTGGCCCTCTTTATGTGTTCTGGAAGTGAGTCCTGGTGTTGGATGTGTGACTTGCCGATATTTTCTACTAGGCTATACTCTGTCATTTCATTTTCTTTTTTTCAAGTTGTCTTTTTATTAAGTGTCCTTCTCAGAGTAAATATTTTGAACTTTGATTAAAGTCCATTTTGTCCTTTTTTTGTTTACTTTATGAATTGTCCTACTGGTGTCCTAAGAATTCTTTGCTTAGTTCAAAGCATAAGGAGTTTCTCCTGTGTTCTCTTCTAAACATTTTATAATTTTAGGTTTTACATTTAGATCTTGATCCATTTTGAGTTAACTTCAAGTTGAAGTTGATTTTTTTGCATATGAATGTCCAGTTGTTCAATATCACTTGTTGAACATCATTTTCCCCATCACTCTTTTGTCAAATTCCAATTGGCCATATTTGTGTGGTTCTATTTCTGGACTCTGTTCTCTTCTTTTGATCTATTTGTCCATTCTATGCCAGTAGCACAGTTTTGATCATTGTAGCTTTATAGGAAGTCTTGCAATTGAATAGCGTGATCTCTCTAAGTTTATTCTTTAATATTATTTTTACATTTATCTTTATACTGTGGACACAGTACCTTTATTTTATTTTTATGTCGTGTTGAGGATCGAACCCAGTGTCTCACGCATGCTAGGCGAGCGTTCTACCCCACAACCTCAGCCCCTAAGTTTATTCTTTTTCAACATTGTTTTGACAATTTTAGTTCTTTTGCCTTTACATATAAGTTTTAAAATCATCTTGCACATACATACATCTCCATTCTACTGGGGTTTTGATATAGAATTCTAAGATTCTTTTTCACTTAGTACATTAAAAATGTAGTTTTGTGCATGTAATGCATCTGCTTTCAAACTTTTTCCTTGTTTTTAGTTTTGTGCATTTTAATTATGATGTATCTGAAGGTGTAGTGCCTTAGACTTTGGTAGAGATTTCTAAGGCTTTTGTGAACTCCAGGCACTTTCAGCACTGTTATTTCCCTGAAGTCACTTTTCTCTCTACAATGAACCCTTTTCTTCTGCAGAGACCATGATTATACAATAATAATTAAACCTTCTGCAGTTGTCCCACATATCCTGTGGTTTTATTTTTCTGTAATCGTTCTTCTTTCTCATGTTTACATTACATATTTACTATTTTTTTTATATTTCTTTTTTAGTTGAAGTTGGATACAATACCTTTATTTGTTTTTATGTGGTGCTGAGGATCGAACCCAGCACCTCACACTTGCTAGGTGAGCTTGCTACCACTGAGCCACAATGTCAGCCCACATATTTACTATTGATCTATCTTCAAGTATTGACTTTCTTTTGTTATCTCCATTCTGCTATTGAGCCCATACTATAAGTTTTAAATTTTTATCATATAAGTATTTATTTATTTTTGATGGTGCTGGGGATTGAATCCAGGGCCTTGTGCCCAGCCCTAATTTTTAAATATTATGTTAAAAGACTGGGTCTTAAGTAAATCTTACGAAAAATGCTAATGTTTCTTTCATCAGGCAGTTATTAGGTTCAGACTTAGTTGTGATCAGCCTTCTATGCACTATGCATTCAGTAGTACTCATGCTTCCTAAATCTTGGTAGTACTTTTCAGATTTGCCTTGGATATATGCACAGCCTAGTGACTCAGGCAGTTGTCTGGCCCTTAGTTTAGTTCTTAATGTCTTTGGTATACTGTTCAGAACTACATCCAGGCAAGTACAGCTTCCATGTGAGCCTAGGAGTTTGTTTACAACTTTCTATGATGTTTTTCCCAAGCTCATCTCTGAGATTTTCATATATATATATATATATTTTTTTTTTTTCCTTTGGTCCTGGGTATTGAACCCAGGGTCTCAAGCATGCTTGGCAAGAACACTACCACTGGGCTACATCACCAATATTTATTTTTTTTATTTTGAGATAGGGTCTCTCTAAATTGCTCAGGCTGATCTTAAACTTGGGATTCTCCTGCCTCAGCCTCCAGAGTAGCTGGGATTACAGGTGTTTGTGCAACTACTAATTTTTTTTTAAATTCCCTGAGCCTCACTTTTGATCTTTAGCCTGAAATTTGGATCTTTTGTTACCTCATTTTTCTGGATGCATCTGAGGCAACAGGGGCCCAGAGAGATAAAGAAAGCCACAGGTGTTTACCGCCCGGTCTCAGGACTGCCTTCTCTGATTAGGAAGGAAGTTTTCCCTTCCTCAGTGTGAAGATGCTTATTGAATCCTATTGATAACCACTATTACTGCTGTAGCCACACTTCAGGCCTGAAGTGTGAAAGTAGGGAGTCTTGGAGGAAAAAGAGAAAAAGGCAGAGGGGGATCACTGTGTTCCCTCTGAGTGTTGGGGGTTCCCCTTCTGGTTTTTTGAGTTCAAACAACAGAGCTTTGCCTGGAACCCAGTTTAGTTTTTAGAGTACTAGTTCAGGGGAAATCAGAAAAATGGGAAGTTCCCTTCCAGTCTAATAGTACTAAAAAGAAGTGTATGTGTATGTTGGGGGTGGGGGTGAGGTTCTGGGGACGAAACTCAGTCCTTTGTGCTATTGGTACACAAGTTCTTGTCTAGTTCACCAGTGCACCTGCTACTAAATACTATTTAAGAGTCCAAGAAGCTGCCTGTGTATTCTCTAGGGATATATTTGTACACAGTAGAAGAAACAGGATAGAGTACACTTTTACTCATTATAATCTGAACTGGAACTCAGTTCTTTTTAAATTTGTTTTTTAACCTTTAGAAGTCTGACTTTTGTCTTATTATAAAATACCTTCATTGAAGAAAACTTGAAAAATAAAAGTAAGATAAAAGAAGCTGAAATCTCTATAAACTCATGAACTACTGCTATTTTGGTGTTACCATATTAGTCTTTTTAATTTCCTACATATATTTTTTTTCTGCTTTTTTGGGGGAGGTGCTTGGGATCAAATCTAGGGCCTTACACATGCTAAGTCTACACTCTACCCCTGATTTTCACCCCTAGCCCCTCAGTTTTAACAATAAAAATTAACTAGATAAATAATGTTAATTATTTTAACCAGTAGTTCCAACACCCAGTTACTGTCGACTCAATCTCATTATTTTTAACTAAATTTTCTCTTTTCTTAAATAGGTAGAAAATCTTTGTCCTCAAGTTGGCTGGGTTGAAATTGATCCTGACATTCTCTGGACTCAATTTATTGCTGTAATAAAAGATGCTATCAAAGGTAATAGGATTAATAAAAATAACAATGGCCTCTATGGTATATTTTGTTTGTAATAAGAGTTTTCCTCAGGGATTTTATTAAGATTTTTCTGAGGATTCTGTAGAATTTGTTGTTATAATATACATGTAGTATTTTATTAGGGGTCACAGTTTCCCTATATTTTTCGGGGGTGATTTGTGGTTCACAGCAAACCACTTCAATAAGGAAAAGTAACAGCAACCATGTCCCCCCATTTGTCTGTTCAGCTGTAATTTAAATGAATGTTTATCTTCCTTCATCCTGCTTTTATCTAGGGCTGACTTGATTTCCTGATGCTTATAGAATACTATTGGGTTATAAACAAAGTTACCATGTACTGAGTTCACAACTGAGTTACCTTCATTGTAAAGTAAGTTTTCCTTCTGTGGTCTTTTGATGTGGTCTTCTAACAACAGCCATGGACTAAAAATCTTAGCTCTTTAAGAGTGTTATTAGGGCTAGGGATATAGCTCATTTGGTAGAGTGCTTGCCTCCCATGCACAAGGCCCTGGGTTCAATCCCCAGCACAAAAAGAAAAAATAAAGAAAAATGATTTCAGTGCAACTGTGTTCAGTAACATTGCAGAAGATGACTTATAGATTATAGAAAGTATTTTATGTCATTTCTTAAGCCTGAATTGCTTCTCCCTCTTATTTTAACTTGTAATATTTCAAAACTTATTAAAAAGTTGCAAGAATAAGGAGTGGGAAGCTAGCTCATAGTAGAGCATGGTAGAGTGTGCTTAGCATGCATGAGGCCTTGAGTTTCTTCCCTAGCACAGTAAAGAAACAAACAAACAAAAAATGTTTCAACAATAGTAGAACAAACATTGGTATACCCTTCTCCCAGATTTAAACATATTTTGCCTTGTTGACAATTCTCCATGAATATTTTTTCCTGAAATATTTGAGGGTTATTTGTGGTGTAATCTGTCACACCTAAATACTGTAGCATCATCTCCAAAGAAAAGCCATGTCTTCATGTGTATGCACAGTGCAGTTATTACACTTAGGAAATTAGTAAATACCTTACTATAGTATTTAACAATATTTAGCATTCATAGTGTCCTCTAGTATTTAGTCTTCAGTATTCTCTTATCTCAGTAAAAAAATAATAATAACTTTTTCTTTGTCTAGATTGCAAAGATGAGGCTTTGCAAATAGCTGTTAGTCTGTTTAGTCTACTTTAATCTATAGCAGGTTCTTTATGACATTGACAGTTTCAAAAGCACAGATCAAGCCTGGCACAATGGTGCCCTCCTGTAATCCTAGCAGCTTGGGAGGCTGAGGAAGGAGGATCTTGAGTTCAAAGCCAGCCTCAACAAAAGTGAGGCACAAAGCAACTCAGTGAGACCCTGTCTCTAGATAAAATACAAAATAGGGCTGGGGATGTGGCTCAGTGGTTGAGTGCCCCTGAGTTCAATCCTCAGAATTCAAAAAAGAAAGCAAGCAAGCACAGGCCAGTTTAGCAGGCTGCCCCTCATTTGGGGGTTGTCTTATTATTTTCTCATCATGAGATTCAGGTTGAATATCTTTGTAAGGAATACTATGTATGGTGTGATAATTTTCCTCAGAGCTCAAATTGAAGTTGGCCAAAATTTTCCCAGTGGGGTAAACTGATGTTTTAAAAGAAAGTTACAGGTACATACTTGTATCCTAGTGACTCTAGAGGCTGAGACTGAAGGATCACAAGTTTGAGGCCAGCCTTGGCAATTTAATGGAGCCCTAAGCAACTTAGTGAGACCCTGTCTCAAAATAAAAAAATGAAAAGGGCTGGGGTGTGGCTCAGTGGTAAAAGCTCCTCTGGGTTCAATCCCTGGTACAAAAAAAATTATAAAAATCACTTGGTATTACTATATTTTAGGAAATTTGGATCTTAAAAACATGTTTTTATTTACATCCTTAATTTCTATTTGTAATGAAAACATATTCTCAGCTTTAATAATTATTTACCTTTATCTCCATCAATCATCTTATGTTGTGATTGATCACCACCTAGGTTAAATTTCAATTTTTTAGTGTTATCAGCAAGAACATACTACCGGAGTTACTTTGAATACATTTGTCTTTTTCTAATGTTTAAAGCTATTTTGTTAGGCTATGTCTTTTTTCCTTATTATATTGAATAATTGAATAATTTATTTTCCATATAGTAATATGGTCAAGTAAACATCACTGGCTTTTAAACATGTGTTTCACTGATCTTCACCTGCAGCTGCAGGAGCACAGATGAACCAGATTGTTGGTCTTGGTATATCCACACAGAGAGCGACTTTCATTACGTGGAACAGGTGAGTGCTTTGTGTGATAAGCACTGTATTGTGGGTTCCTGCTTCAGTGCTTAAGCAGCTGCTAAACCTGTTTGGGGTATTTTGGTGAATTGAGATGAGCTTACTTTCTGGCTTGCACGCTACTCACTTGGTCTTGGGCTTTACTTATGAATAACAATAAAGAGCCTCTTGTCATGAAATTCTCCTCCTCTTTTTGCATGTTAACTTCCAAAAGAGTGGATTGAAGATCTAAAAAATTGTGTTATTCCTAGAGAGAGTCAGGGAATTAACAATCTTTTGTTGTTATTGTTCTGGGGATTGAACCCAGAGGCACATAACTACTGAGCCACATTCTTCCCCAGCTGTTTTTATTTTTCATTTTGAAACAGGGTCTCCACTAAGTTACTTTGGGCCTTGCTAAGTTGCTGAGGCTGGCTCAAACTTGCAGTCCTGCCTCAGTGTCCCAAGTTGCTGGGGTTATAGCCATGTACCACCGCACCTGGCAACCCAGCAAATTCCAATATTGTGCTTATGGTTTAAATTTTCAGACTACTCCTAATTTACTATATAGGTACCAAGCATCCAAGGCATATGCAGATTAGACATAATTATGGTATTTAATAGCAACCATAGGGTGAACACCTATGATACTCCAAGTTTCATTATTTTATAACAAACCTGTTATTTAGGTATTGTGTCTGTTGAGACAGAAACTGAAACTCAAAGAAATAAGGAGATTGTTCAAAATTACTCAGTAAATAGAGCCAAGATTCCAAATTATCTTTTTGGGGTTTTTTTGTGTGTGTATGTTTGTGTCTTATTTTATTTTTGCAGTGCTGGAGATGTAACCCATGGCTTCATGCTTGCTAGCCAAGTGCTCTACCATCAAGCCAAGCCTGTAGCCCAGCTTGTGTTGTTTTTTGCGGGGCAGGGGTTTGTGTGGCAGTCCAGCTGCAGCAAACTAAGGGGGGGGGGTGACGAATAACATGTGTGCATGTGTCCGTTGATACAGCAGGAGTAGGAGCGGTATATTGTAGGACAACAGAGGTATTTATACATTTTGCACAGCTTATCTTAATTAGCATAAACTAGATACATCAGTCAACCAATAAGGAATCTCCACACTTAATGGCTCGCTTTTGTTACTTTTCAAACCACTCCCTCTGGCATTTTGCCAGGCACCATCCAGACTTGTTTACGAACTCTAACATTCCCCTGGCAAAATACCAGGTGTTATTTTGACTTGTTTACAGACCTTAACAGGTTTGGGTACCAGGGATTGAACCAAGGAGCACTTAACCACTGAGCCACATCCCCAGCCCTTTTTGATTTTTATTTTGCAACAGAGTCTCATTAGGTTGTTCAAGTCCTCGCTGAATTGCTGAGCTGGCCTTGAATTTGGGATCCTCTTGCCTCAGCCACTGAAGTTGCTGGGATTATAGTTGTACGCCACTGTGCCCAGCCAGCGTGAGTTTTTTTTAAGGGAGAAAAAAAAACCAACCCTGTAAAATTTGTCTTTATTACAAAGCACTAGACTCCAAGTGTATGTTGAACTTGGGCCTTGGGAAATATAAGTAGGAGGAGGAAAATCCCTGCGAATCTGAAAAATATAATTGGGGTGAATTCATACAAACTTACCTCTGCTCCAGCAGTACTGAGGATTGGATCCAGGGGTGCTCTACCACTGAGCTATACCCCTGACCCATTTTATTTTTTATTTTGAGACAGGGTCTTGCTAATTTGCTAAGGCTGGTCTTGAATTTGGGATCCTTCAGCCTCAGCTTTCTGAGTAGCTGGGATTACAGGTGGGAGTACAGGGCAGCACCTAGCTAGGACATGGTTTCTGATAGTGTTAGGTAAGAGGAAGAAATTTGAATTTAGCAATATATCTGGCCTTGATATTTTGGAGAGTGTGATAAAAATCACAGAGAATATAAGAAGAGGGCTGGGATTGTGTCTCAGAGGTAGAGCGCTTGTCTAGCATGTGTGAGTCACTGGGTTTGATCCTTACCACCACATAAAAATAAAGATATTATATCCACCTATAATTTAAAAATAAATAAATAAATAAATTTTTTTAAAAAGAGGAGGCTGGGGATATAGCTCAGTTGGTAGAGTGTTTGTCTCACAAGCACAAGGCCCTGGGTTCAATCCCCAGCACAGAAAAAAAAAAAAAAGAGAGAGAGAGAGAGAGAGAGAAACACAAGAAGAGGAACAGGTTGGGTTTGGGGAGAGTAGGTTAAAGAGAAGATGATGAAGTGTTTGGTTTTGGATGTCTGACTGTGGAGATATGCTGGAGGTGTCTGGAACATTGGTGTCTTTAGGGTGAGGCACAGCAGATTTCCATATAGGTACTTTCTGTTTTGAGGCACGGTGTGTCTGAGGTTGATACCTTCATCTGCAGTCCCCCTGTGCCTGCCCTCCAGTGCCTTGAATATGGTGAGTCTTTAATAGTAATATATCATCAGATGAAGTGATGAATGAATTCAAGTTATCAGTGTAGATTTAATTAATGGCACTGTGGAAGTTTAGGGACATGTAAGTTCTTTCTTGTGGAAACTGTTCCATGGCATGCAGATGTTTGGCTGCTTTCCTGGTCTCTGTGAGATGCCAGTAAGCACCCCCACTCCCATCCCATTGTAACATCGACATGCAAAATCATGCTCAATTGAGAACTGCTGGTGCATATGAAGTCTAGACAAGTGGATTTATCTGGTAGGATTATTTGGAGAGAAGAGAAGCAGGCTGAGGATTTGGACTATGACCCCTTCCTCCAAAATTAAAAGGAAATCAGGAAAGAAAAAGCTGGCAAAGCAGGATCAAAGCCAGGCTGAGAAGGGGATGATAGGGTCATGGAGGCAAGAGAGTGTTTCCAGGAAGGGAGCTGTTCGGAAGTGACACATTTGGTTGGATTTGGTGATAAGGTCATGGGCCCCCCAGAGTGCTTTCGTCAGGATTTGGTACCTCTCATTCAAGATAGGAGTTTTAGGAATACACTTGTTGGGCAGCAGTAGGACTATACCTTGTTTCCAGAAAAGATATAAGAATCAGATTCCAAGCAGTCTGCTTCCCTTATTGGTATTGCTATTTTTCTTTGTAGAGGGAACAAGTTTTCTTCCTAGATCAATTATGTGAGTTTTTTTTCTTGGCTTTTTTTTTTTCTTTTTTGAAATATTTGTATTCTTCTGTGAGTTTTAGAAACATTCTTTGCTTGTAGAAACCTGGAATGCAGATTTTTTTTTTTTTTAAGATAGATGCAAGGCTCCTTTCTTCTTTACCCTAAAATAATGGAGGCTTATTCTGCTCATTGGGCCTGAGTGAGCCGCTGTGGTGCATGATGCTGGCAGGTTCCAGAAGCTTGAAGTACGCCTTGTTCCTCTGTGGGAAGGGAGACAGACCAGACCCTCTGGAACAATCTATTGTTTGCTCCAGTCCAGCCAGTGCCCCTCCTCCCCCCTCGTTGTTTGCCTTTTTCCTATGAGCAGGATATATCCCTGTCCTCATGGCCATACAAACACTGTTTTCCACATGCTTGCTATCAGGAAGTATAAAACTTAGAACTTTCTTTTTGTTTTTCTCCTTGTTTTTTTCCCCCTGTAAGAGACCAGGAAACTCAATGTTGTTAATTTTTTTTTCAGTCCTTGAGTTTTCTTCATATTCTTTGGATTTAACTTCTTTTTTTTTTCCTTCAATATAATCAGTGGTGTGTTTAGCTGACTTTCTAAAATAACTCCAAATATATCACCTCTGTTTTGATTTTTAAAAAATTTCTTTTGTTTTACAAAATCACTAGCTATTTGTTTCTTGAGTCGCTGTGTCTCTCAGGGAGACTTCTGCCAACTAACCTCAGATCAGGGTTGTGTGCCAATCAGTAACATAAACTGCATGAGTCATGCCAGTGAGCGGGGAACCCTCCGTAACTGTTGGGAGGTTCCCAGGGAGTGACTCGCTGTGGTGCTGCTGAACTGAATACAAAGCTGAGTAGGAGTGCCAGCCCCCAAGGGCTTTACAGTCTCCTTACTTGAGTTTTATTCCATGATCTTGCCACATGAAATATGTCTTTCACTGTAGCATTTAATATTTATGTTAATGGCTCTTGCCACTTATTTATGACACAAAATATATAAGAGCCACAGAATGGTATAACGTGTTGGAAGGGCTTAAGACAGTTTCTTTACAACATTGCCATTTATGCTCTTCTTTTTTTCTCCTTTTATTGTTGATATAAATAGAATTAAGCCAAGTCAGTGCTATATGAATGTTGGAATATGTGCTACCCCTTGAGGTCAGTTTTCTAAATTGTCTTGTACCGTGATCTGAAATGGCAATATCGCTTCCACATTTTGATTTCCCCCCACTTTGCTCTTCAGCACACTAGCCTGCCAGTCCCTAACACTGCTTCATGATGACTGAACAAATAACAGCACTTTTTTTCAAGAATATTCACCTTCTTGGGCTGGGGATGTGGCTCAAGCGGTAGCGCGCTCGCCTGGCATGCGTGTGGCCCGGGTTCGATCCTTAGCACCACATACCAACAAAGATGTTGTATCCGCTGAGAATTAAAAAATAAATATTAAAAAAATTCTCTCTCTCTCTCTCTCTCTCTCTCTCCTCTCTCTCTCTCTCTTTAAAAAAAAAAAAAAAGAAGAATATTTACCTTCCTGTTGGGCGCAGTGGCGCATACCTATAATTGCGGCAACTTGGGAGGCTGAGGCAGGAGAATCACAAGTTCAAAGCCAGTGTCAGCAACTTAGTAAGGCCCTAAGCAACTTAGTGAGATCCTGTCTCAAAATAAAAAAATAATAAAAAGGACTGGGGATGTGGCTCAATGGTTAAATGCCCCTGGATTCAATCCCCAGTACCAAGGCAGGGAAAAAAAAGAATATTCACCTTCTTAGTTAATTCCTAAGCAACCTTCTGAGTTCAGTTCCACAGTCACTTTTCAAAGAAGCCTTTCTTGATCCCCAGACCAGGTGTGGTCTCTCTGTTAAATATACTTATGGCACCTTAAACTTCTACTCCATGACATTTATTCTTGTCCTATGTAAGCAACTGAGTGATTCTTTGTTTGAATTTCCTGGTAAAAAGTATGTTTATCAGGGCTTTGCCCTGTCTCTGTTCACAGCTCTGTCCCCAGAAGCAGACAAAGATTGCTTTGTAAATATTGGCTGAAATCATTGAGGATGTGACCATAAATGTGGACTGCTTAAGTAGAGTGGGGAATGGCAGCCTTGGAAAGTAACACAGGAGGGGACCTGAAGAGGGTAGCAAGCCAGCCCAAGTTTAATGTTGAAGGTTAGTAGATGCTGTGCTGGGGGCATGGCTCAGTGGTAGAGCATGTGCAGTCACTGCTGGCACACAGGTTTGTGGGAACCAGTGGCTGATTTGTAGGACCCTTAATAGGAGAAAGGAGTTTTTCTCTACTTCTTTCTTTATTTTCCATTATTGGGGATTAAACCTAGGGGTATACCATCACTGAACTATATCCCCAGCCCTTTTTATTTTTTTATTTTGAGACAACATCTCATTAAGTTGTCCAGGCTGGCCTTAAACTTGGAATCTTTCCCTTATGCCTCAGCCTCCCCAGTAGCTGGTGTTATAGGTATGTGTCATTATGCCCAGATTCTTCTATTTTTTTTAATGCTGTACTCTTATTGTGGTATTGACCCAGGATTTGCTGAATTTCTGGGGTTTTTCTTTAATTTTTTAAATATATTTTTTTAGTTGTAGATGGACACAATACCTTTATTTTGTTTATTTTTATTTGGTGCTGGGATCGAACCCAGTGCCTCATGCATGCTTGGCATGCACTCTACCACTGAGCCACAACTCTGGCCCAGGGGTTTTTATTTTCTTAATGTTTAAATTTTTTTTGCAGGGCTGGGAACTAACCCAAGACCTCACACATGCTAGGCAAGTATCTTACTACTGAGCTACGTCCCCTGCCTTTTCTATTTGCAGATAGGATCTCACTGTGTCGCCCAGGCTGTCTTCTAACTTGCATTCCTTCTGCTTCAGTCTCCCAAGAAACTGGTATTAAGGCGCATGGCACCATGCCTGGTTTGAATTTCTGTTTATTGGAGAAATTTTGGTAAGCGTATTAGGTTCCTGAAGGCTAGGCCAAATCCTACAATTGAAAGGTAAAGAAATAGGCTCAAGTGATATTTTAGATCCTCTGCAGGTCAGAAGTTTTTATCTGATTATATGTATCAGGGTAAGTACAAGGAAGGGGAAAGACATTGGCTTTGTTTCTTGCTTTTAAAGAAGCCGTTGGTCATGGCAGCACAAGCTTCTTATCCCAGCTATTCCGGAGGCTGAAGCAGGAGGGTTACAAGTTCAAGACCAACCTGTGCAACTTAGTGAGATCGTGTCTCAAAAAATAAAAAGGGCTGGGGTGAGGGGCTGGAGTTGTGTGGCTCAATGGTAGAGCACTTGCCTAGCATGTGTGAGTCACTGGGTTCAAGTCTCAGCACCACATATAAATAAATGAATAAAGTAAAGGTCCATTAACAACTAAAAAAAAAAAAATTTTAAAAAGGGCTTCGGGTGTAGCTTAGTGGTCCAGTGCTCATGTGCAAGGTCCTAGGTTCAATCCTTAGAGAGAAAGAGAGAAATATGTAGAACAAGTTTTCAAAGGCCTTTTCGTTTGTTGTTTTGGGGTGTGCACACATTGTAGTATTTCAAAAAGATTATCTTTGAGGATGGAATCTGATCTAAAATTTCACAATGTATGTCATATAATTGTAATGCAATGTGTTTAGTTTAAAAAATCAAAGAGAAGCTGTTCAGAAAGCCCCATCTAATTAAATCATGCTTTGAAATTATATTTTAGCCTCTAATTTGTTTTCTCTCATGGCAGATCTTTAGTATAGTCTCTGATGTTTACAGAGTCTCAAAATTTTGTTTCCTTCTTTTTTAGGAAAACAGGAAATCATTTTCACAACTTCATTAGTTGGCAAGACCTAAGAGCAATTGAACTTGTAAAATCCTGGAATAATTCTCTTGTAATGAAGGTAATCTTTTCTTACCTTATGTGATTTGGATGTTATTGTTTTTTCCTATAACTATCTCTTAACTATGGACTTAATTTCATAACTTCCTTTGTTTGTTGCTTTAGGGTATTAAGAGTACACAAACAGTTCTCCAAATCAGTAAAGTTTAATAATAGTCACCTAAAATTATACATTGTAGACTTAAGTACTTAATAGTTGCACCTTGGGAAGTCTTGAGGAGGTTGGGGGGACCACAGTTTTACCTGTTAGTGGGAATTTGTGTTTCTATTCTTGAGAAATGGAAAAGACACAGACTAGATAGAATGAAATATCCAAATTACATCATCGTTGTAATAAAGTAAAGAATGGATACTGAGATAATAGCTGGCAGCCTGCCACAAATTCTTCACTTTATGCCTGGAAGTAGTAGGCCAGCAGTCAGTGACAGTGCTATTGCTGGTGGTGGCAGCAGCAATAGCATCAACACTAGTTGTAATCGTGTTATTTCTCTGAAATCTCCCTCCCTCCTCACTTTGAGATTACTGAGTCAAAGGGTCAGGTGTTTTCCACCTCCTCAAACGTGGTCAAACCTGTGGTGTTTGATGTTCCAATTAATATTCCATATTAATTATTTTAAGATTTCTAATGCCTCATGATCAAATGTCTTCTCAGCTACTATGCTGGCACCAGACAGTGCATATATTGTGTGTATATATGTGTGTATATATATTTTACATATATTTAAATGCATCTTGTCATAATAATTTGTGAGACTGAATATTGAGAGTTTCTGTGTATTGGAAAGAAATGTTAGTTAAAGGAGTTGAAAGTGATTTTAAGGAAATATCTTCAACCCTGAAATGTATAATTTAAAATAAAATCATTTAGGGCAGAGGATGCAGCTTAGTTGTAGAGTGCCTTCTCTAATATTTTGTAAAGCCCTGAGTTCCATTCTGGCACTGCAAAAAATTAAATAAGTAAATACATAAATTTTACTTTGTAATTTTATGGCTTAATGTATAATTTTGGGGGGTACTGGGGATTGATGAACATTAGTTTTTTTAATATTTATTTTTTAGCTGGACACAATATCTTTATTTTATTTATTTATTTTTATGTGGTGCTGAGGATTGAACCCAGGGCCTCCCACGTGCTAGGTGAGTGCTCTGCCACTGAGCCACAACCCCAGCCCCTGAACCAGTAGTTTTTAATAGTCCACCAAGGGGCTGGAATCGTGGCTCAGCGGTAGAGTGCTTTCCTAGCATGGGCAGGACCCGGGTTTGATCCTGAGCACCACGTAAAAATAAAGGCATGTACACCTAAAAAATAAATATTAAAAAAAAAGTTTAATAGTCCACCAAATACTACTTAAGTTAAGAGAGATATTTGAAACTTTTATTCCTTTGAAATTTAGTTGTGACCACAGAAACATTTTACTTCTGCAGTGTGAACTCCAAATGTCAAATTTTGATGTAAAACTAAGACCTCATGTGTAACATTGAGCATTAAAAGCACTGTATATACCTGAAACTGAACATGTGCTTGATGAAAGTTTTGGTTCTTCTTAGTGGAAAATGCACCAAAATGCAGACTGGCACCGTTGAGCCTGCCCTGCTGCAGGCGTGTCCTAGCTGTGGAGGAACTCCTCCCTGCCGTCACTCTTCCTAGGGCTCATGGTTTGGGGATTGAGGCTGTGGGAGCTGTTTCTACTGCATTTGTCAGAGCTGGCACCATGGTCATTAGTTTGGCCATCGATAGCCCCAAGGAATAGGAAGTAATTGAGACATGGAGTCATCTCCTCAGCCGTGTCTTCCTCCAGCCTGCTCAGCCACCCAGGCCTTTAGCAACTCTTTCTTTTTCATTGCTGGAATGTATTCAGTGGTACAGATGTGCCACAGTTTATCAAACCACTCACCTGTTGAAGGACATCTGTGCTAACTCCAGTTTTTACCTATTATAAATAAAGCTGTTATGAGCATTCTTTGTAAAGAACTTCATGTAAATAAAACCACATCCCAAAAGCACTACTGGTGAGTTATCTGGTACTTGTGTGTTTTATTTTTTAAGAATCTGCCAAACTTGTTTCCAAGAATGATTTTATTATTTATATTACCACCAGTAATAAATGAGTTTTAAGACACTTTTTTTTTTTTTTTTTCTGGTACTGGGAATCGAACCCAGGGATGCTTTACCACTAAACTATATTCCCAGCCCTTTTTATTTTTTTTATTTTGAGAAAGAATCTTGCTAACTTGCTTAGGATCTTGCTAAATTGCTGAGGCTGATCTTGGACTTGTGATCCTCCTGCCTTAATCTCCTGAGTCACTGGTATTACAGGTTTATGCCACTGGTATATGCCACTGCGCCTGGCCATTGTTTTCATATTTTAACACATTTGAAATTGGGACACTTATCCTTGTGGCACATTAAATAATTACTCATTTTACATTCTGTCTTCTTAGGTTATCTAACTTGTTGGTTTGAATACTTATTTGTCTCTCTTCTCACTAAAATAGCAGTTTTCACAGGGCAGAGATTCTGGCTGTCTCATTTTTTTTTTTTCCAAGGCCTAACACAGTCCACATATATAGAATAGAGGGCCCCCAACAATTACTTGTTAGATGTAAATGAAGTTGTTCATTGTTCAGGTGTTGACTCAAAGTACAGGTGCTGGAGCTCTTAATACTTTGTATCCACACCCCCAATGAGTCAGCATTTTTAACAAAGATCCTCAAAGTATCCTAAATCCAATTTTTAATAATAAGGTACATTGTGGCCAGTCTGGGGTGCACTCCTGTAATCCCAGCTACTTTGGAGGCTGAGACAGGAAGATAGTAAGTTCAAGGCCAGCCTGGGCAACTTTCACAACCTTGTCTCAGAATAAAAAAATTTTAAAAAGAACTGGGGGTGTAGCTCAGTGGTGGAGCACTTGCCTAGCATGAGTGATGCCCTGGATTCCAGTCAGGATGCTTATGATGAAGAACTTACTTAAATTTGAATCATTTCTTAAAATATAACAAAAGGAATATAGGCCGTCACTTTAAGTACTTTAAATACTTTTATAAGCTTTTAATAAGTTCTTAGATCATTAGGTAAGAATAGATAATATTAAATCAAATCATAAACATCAAAGTATTAATTATTTAAAATATAGGGAAATTTGGGGCTGGGGATATAGCTCAGTTGGTAGAGCTATATCCCTGGTTTCAGTCCCCAGCACCATATACACACACATAAAAAAAAATTGACAAATCTTACTGTATGTTAATTGTACCTCAATAAAATTGACACAAAAATTGATATTAAAAAAAGTATATAGGGAAATTTCCTTCTGAGTTAGTAATAACTTGATTTCTAATAAAAAAAAGAGGAAGAGCTACTAGGAGTTCATTCTTACTGATGAGATTCAGGTTTCTTAGGGTTTTGATTTACAGAGTCAACCTGAAGCTGAAATACAAGATAATGGATATTATAAAAATATATGGAATAAGAGCCTTCAAAATCAAAGATTGGTCAAGAGTTTTATGTAGATTGTGTTACAATTTGAATAGCAGTGAATTAACTAAACAGATAGACCTCAAACAAAATTTAAGGATACCTAAGCCTAATGAAATAAGAACTCTACCAATACAGCCTCTTCCCTAGATTCTATTTCTTCACTTTCTTACTAAAACTAAATAGAAAGATAAAAAGAATTGTAGGCTTTTGTATGTTTTTTGTTGTTGTTGTTGTTAGTTGTAGTTGGACACAATATATTTATTTTATTTATTTATTTTTATGTGGTGCTGAGGTTCGAACCCAGGGCCTCACACATGCTAGGCAAGCACTTTACCGCTGAGCCACAAGCCCAGCCCCTTATTTATTTATTTATTTATTTATTTATTTTTTTAAATTTTTTTTTTAAGAGAGAGTGAGAGAGAGACAGAGAGGGAGAGAGAGAGAGAGAGAGAATTTTTAATATTTATTAATTTATTTTTTAGTTCTCAGCAGACACAACATCTTTGTTTGTATGTGGTGCTGAGGATCGAACCCAGGCCGCACGCATGCCAGGCGAGCGCGCTACCGCCTGAGCCACATCCCCAGCCCCCTTATTTATTGATTTATTTAGCTATTTAGTTATTAAAGATGGGGTCTCATGGGCTGGGGTTGTGGCTCAGCAGTAGAGTGCTCACCTCGCTCATGTGAGGCCCCTGGGTTCAATCCTCAGCACTACATAAAAATAAATAAATAAAATAAAGGTATTGTGTCCAACTACAACTAAAAAATAAATATTAAAAAAAGATGGGGTCTCACTATGTTGCCCATGCTGACCTCAAACTCCTGGGCTCAAGTAATCCTCCTGTCTCAGCCTCCCATGTGGCTGGGCATGCCATGCTCTGTTCTAGATTTTCTTTCTTTCTTTCTTTCTTTTAAAGAGAGAGAGAGAGAATTTTTAAATATTTTTTAGTTCTCAGCAGACACAACATCTTTGTATGTGGTGCTGAGGATCGAACCTGGGCCGCAGGCACACACGCATGCCAGGCAAGCGAGCTACCGCTTGAGCCACATCCCCAGCCCCTAGATTTTCTTAAGTGCTGAGAACAACTTCCTAAGTAGTTCAATGACTTGTTTGTTATTGGGTTTGTTAGCATATGTATAAATTGATAAGGAAACATCAAATACCTTCAGTGGGTTTTCTTAAACTCCTTTCTTTTCAATAGCTCCTGCACAGTTCCTGCCGAGTGTTGCACTTCTTCACTAGAAGTAAGCGTCTCCTAGCAGCCAGCCGGTTCACCTTCACCACCCAGCAGGCTTCTTTGCGATTGGCCTGGATTTTGCAGAACCTGACAGAGGTAGGAAAAAGGTTTTGTGTGTAGAAATGTGAGAAAGACCGGGGAAGGGAAAATCCAAGAAATAAAACTAGTAATTCAATTATTTGAGGGAATATGAAGCCCCACCACTATTGGAATGGAAGATAAGTCATATTTACTTGATTTGGTTTTTAAAACCTTTTTGTTGTGTACACATGTAGAAAGGTGGACGAAGCACAGGTTTACACAGGGTGGTACTTAGTAGAGCAACGACTGTGTGGCACCACCTGGATCAACAACTGTACCACTGTGTAATTTCATATTGTATATGAAGTTTTTACATTTTTATCATGTATGTGTGTATTCCTCAGTACCATACTTTAATTTTGCCTGAATATTTTTGCTTTTTGGTTTTTGGTACTGAGCATTGAACCCAGGGACATTTTACCAGTGAGCTGTATGCCTTGCCCTTTTTATTTTTTATTTGGCATAGGTCCTCACCAAGTTGCTGCAGTTGGCCTCGAACTTACAGTCCTCCAGCCTTGGTCTCCTAGTGTGCATCACTGTGCCCAGTTTGCCTGAAAATTTAAAAAAAAAATTTTTTTTAGTTGTTAATGGACCTTTATTTTATTTCTATGTGGTGCTGAGAATCGAACCCAGTGCCTCACACATTCTAGGCAAGTGCTCTACCACTGAGCCACAACCCCAGCCCCTTGCCTGAATATTTTTGAACTATATAAATTGAATTGTATGGTGTGTAACATATTAGTGAAATATGCCTGTGTTGTGTGTAAAATAGTTTGCTAATATTTTCAATATTACTTATTGTTCAGTATATGGTTTTACTACAGTTTTAAAAAATCTATTCTGTTCATATACATTTGGATTATTTTCAAGTTTGGGCTATAATGATTATATCAGGGGCTGGGGATGTGGCTCATGCGGTAGCGCGCTCCCCTGGCATGCGTGCGACTCGGGTTCGATGTTCAGCACCACATACAAACAAAGATGTTGTGTCCGCCAAAAACTAAAAAGTAAATATTAAAAAATTCTCTCTCTCTCTCTCTCTCCCTCTCAAAAAAAATGAATATATCAGTGTACTTGTAAGCATTGTGTCTATATGTAGAAATGGAATATTTAGGTCATGAATGTATATATATATATATCTTCAATGATTGTGGATAATTTCAAAACACATTTCTAAAGTGTTCACCCACTATCGTGATGGGAGGACTTTTTATTTGATTGATCTTCATAAATGCTATTGGACTTTTTAATTTTAGCATTCTTGTGGGTAAGTACGGACCTCATTGTAATATTTGACTGAGTAAAAAAATAAGATCTAGGGTTGGGGGTAAAGCTAGTGGGCTCAAGGTCCCTGAGTTCAATCCCCTGTACCCCATCTCCAAATCCAGCTAAATGCTGTCTACTGGGGATATACTTTAGATTTCAAAAACAAAAATAATTGGGTAGAAAAGCCATATCATGGAGTGAGCCGATATAGTGACATACACTTGTAATTCCAGCAATGTGGGAGGCTGAGATAGAAGGATTGCAAGTTCAAGGCCAGCCTTAGCAACTTAGTGAGGCCCTGTCTCAAAATAAAATAAAAAAGACCCTGGGGTATAGCTCAGTGGTAAGGCACTACTGGTACCAAAAAAAAAATGCAGTGGTTATCCTGGTATCAGATAGAATAGCCTTTAAAACAAAAAATGAAAATTACTAGAGACAAAGAGAGAATTTTATAATGATAAGAAAGTTAATCCATCAGGATTAAAAAACAATTTTATAATTGTATATGCATCCAATAACAGAGCCCCGAATACATGAAGCAAAATTGACAAAATTAAAAAGGAAAATAGATAATTGAAAGGGAATAGTTGAAGACTACAATATCCTATTGTCTTTCTTTTTTAAAAAATACTTTTTACAGCAGATGGACACGATATCTTTATTTTATTTTTATGCAGTTGTAAGGATCGAACCCAGTGCCTCACACATGCTAGGCAACTGAGCTATAACTGCAGCCCCCAATATCCTACTTTCAATAATGGTTAAAACAGACAAAAGATCAAAAAGTTAATAGAAAACTTAAAAAACAATAAGAACTAACTGTGTCTAATAGATAGTTATAGAAAATTCCATTCAACAACAGAACATATTTCTTTTCAGGTGTGCATGGAACCTTCTTTAGGTTAGACCATATGTGAGGCCATAATATAAGCCTTCCTAAATTTGAAAGGATAACATTATACAAGGTCTGTTCTCTAACCATGATGGAATAGAATTACAAGAAAATAACAGAAGAAAAGTTTGGAAGATAAAAAGAGAGATTAACACGCTTCAAAATAACCAGTGGGTCAAAATTAGGAGATACTTTGAAATGAATAAAAATGATGATACAATATATCAAAACTATGGGATGTAGGCAAAGCAGTTTTTATAAATTTATAGCAAGGCTATATTAAGAATGTTTTCTTTTTTTTTTTCCTTCGCAGTATTGGGAATTGAATCCAGGGTCACTACCACTGAGCTATGGCCCCACCTCTTTTTATTTTTTATTTTAAAGCAGGGTCTAGCCAAGTTAGTTGCTAAGGCTGGTGTTAAACTTTCAGTCCTCCTACCTCAGCCTCCCAAGTCACTGGGATTATAGGAGTATACCACCACACCCATTTAAGAATATATTTAAAAAGAAAAAAAAAATTAACTCAACCTAACTTTCTATGAAAAGATAAGCAAACTAAACCCAAAGCAAGAAAAGAAAAAATTAAGGGGGCTGGGGATGTGGCTCAAGCGGTAGCGCGCTCACCTGGTATGCATGCGGCCCAGGTTCGATCCTCAGCACCACATACCAACAAAGATGTTGTGTCCGCCGAGAGCTAAAAAATAAATATTAAAAAAAAAAATTCAAAAAAAAAAAAAGAAAAAATTAAGATTTAGAATGGAAATTAATAAAATACTTAACAAAAAAATGAAAAAAAAAAATCGTTAAAACCAGAAGTTGGTTCTTTGAAAAGACTAGCTACACAGACAAAAAAGAAAGCAAACCAAAATAAATAAAACCATGAATGAAAGAGGGGACATTAATAATTCTGATTTCATAAAACGCCTTAATGGGCAACACTATGAACAAGTTAGGTCACTATTAAAAAATGGAAATTTTCCTAGAAATATACAAACTACTCAAAAATAAAAAATAAATAATCTGAATAAATCTTAGCAAGTAAAATGTTTGAATTAGTAAGTAACAGATTCTCACCTGGAAAATCCCAGGTCTAGATAGCTTCATTGGTGAAATCTACCAAAAGCTTAAAGAAGAATTTTGACCAATTCTTCCAAAAATAGAAGAGAATGGAACACTTTTCAGCTCATTAGGCCAGTATTATCCTGACACCAAAATCAAAGACATCACAAAATTGCAGACCAATATCCCTTATGAATATAGATGCAAAAATCCTCAACAAAATTTTAGAAAGTCAAATCTAGCAACAAATAAAAACAATTATATACTGTGACCAAGTAGGAGTTATTGTAGGAATGCAAGGTTGATTTAGCACTTGAAAATTGACTAATGTAATATACCAAATTAATAGAATAAGGGATAGAAAATACATGAGCATGTCAGTAGATGTAGAAAACCCTACAAAGTAGGAATAAAGGGTGACTTATTAGGGCCAACTGGGCATGGTGGCACATGCCTGTAATCCCAGCATCTCAGGAGCTGAGATAAGAGGACCTGATTGAGAGTTAAAAGCCAGCCTCAGCAAAAGTGAAGTGCTAAGCAACTCAGTGAGATCTTGTCTCTAAATAAAATACGAAATAGGGCTGGGAGTGTGGCTCAGTGTCAAGTGCCACTGAGTCTAATCCCTCGTACCAAAAAAAAAAAAGGGTGACTACTTCTACCTGATCTGTGGAGACCCTATAGCAAACACTATACTTAATGGTAAAAGACTGAGTGCTTTCCCTGTAAGTTCAAAAATGAGATAAGGATATCCATGCTTATCACTTCTAATTAACATTTTACTGGAGGCTATAAGTTGGAGCAGTTACACAGTTAAGCAATGAAATAAAATGCAGCTAGTTTGGAAAGGAAGGAGTGAAAGTATCTCTGTGATCCAGATGACATGATTGTCTATATAGATAGTCTTAAGAAATCTCCGAGACAATGATTACAACTAATAAGTTCAGCAGAGTTGCAGGGTATAAAATCGATATACAAAAATCAATTGCTATATACTAGCAATGAGTTAGAAATTCATTGAAATAAAGGAAACAGTTCTATTTATGATAGTGTCAAAAAGAATAAAATATGGGCTGGGCATGTAGCTCAGTTGGTAAACTAATTACCTCGCATGCACAAGGCCATGGGTTCAATCCCCAGCACCACCAAAAAAAAAAAAAAGGAACAAACTACCTAGGAATCCAGCTGGGTGCAGTGGTACACACCTGTAATTCCAGCAGCTCAGGAGGCTGAGACAGGAGGATTGCGAGTTCAAAGCCAGCCTCAGCAAAAGTGAGGTGCTAAGCACTCAGTGAGACCTTGTCTCTAAATAAAATACAAAAGAGGGCTGGGGATGTGGCTCAGTGGTCAAGAGTCCCTGAGTTCAATCCCTGATGCCCCCCCAAAAAACAACAGGAACAACAACAAAAAACTTAGAAATCCATTTAACAAAAGAGCTGCAAAACTTACAGAAACTACAAAAAATGTTGTTTGCAATCAATGGAGGCTGAAATAAAGGTAAAGATATCCCCTGGCTGGGGATGTAGCTCAGTTCGTAGTGTTTGCCTCACATGTACAACACCCTGGGTTCTATCCCCAGCATCATTAAAAAAAAAAAAAAAAAAAAAAAAAATATAGTGATCTTCAGTATTTTCCATACCAAAATCCATAGCTTTTTAAAAAAATTTTAGCACACAAGCTGATCCTAAAATTCATATAGAAATTTGAGAACCCATAATAGTAAAAACAATTTGAAAAAAGAAACAGTGTTGAAATCACACTTCTTTATTTCATCATGTACTTATTTTACATTTTCCTAATT